GTCCGTCCTTGGTGTGGACGTTATCATCCTGGCCTCAGAATACATCCGTTCGGGTTGCGGTGGAGGCACTGCTAAAGGTACTCGCATGGGTGGAAAATGAGCTATTGAAGCATTCTTTTTGGGTAGGGGAGGAGGGGACGTCACTACTGTCAGAGGCTCGGGTGGTGGTGGACGTCGTTTCGCTGGCGCTGGAGCCTCCTCTGCCGCCATCCATGTTGGTGGCGTTGGCTCTGACGACATTCTTTTCAATCGCCGACGTCGAATGTGTCGTTGAGCGAGGTCGCACTGATGCACTGGCACCAAACCTGTCTCCATGCATCGATAGGGGCATCCGCTACAGTAAAAATAGGGACTTAACATTGACATAGGAGCCGGTATACCAGTTCCACCACGTAGAGAACATGTGTGTGGTGGTGGCAGAGGAGGACGTTCGCACCAACATGGCGCTTCAAATCTTCGCCTGCGAAGATGGTCCGCTACTGCCACTGCTGCTGACTCTGCCTCCATTCGTCTTCTACTAATTTCATGCTCATCTTCCACACTTCCTTCCTCCATATGAATTGTTGGGAAGGGATGATCGAAGCAAGTGGTGGCTTTGGGACAGGAGGCGCGTCCATGTCGTCCATAAAGACCACGAATTAGAGGATAAAGGGAGCGTTGCATGTTAAGCGTCTCCATGGAAGCAGCCCAATCGGGACCAGTATCATAACTGACCTCCATGCTACTCCTTTGACGGGATATGAGAGGACGGGGAGCACTGGACCAGTTTCTTCGAGCCCATTCCGGTACATAGGTACTGCAGTAGTTGGCATACCTTAGTGTTGGAGTTTCTCCTGACACAACAATCTTAGTAGCACGGGGAGGTGGCCATCGACATCCTCTTGGTTTAAGGACAACATCAGAAGGTTGTGAAGGAAGGGGCTGAGCCTGTGGTTGTCGACACACACCTGGTGGATGCTCTGTCGTAGTGAAGGACAGCGACGCCCTCTGTCGGCAGCCTGCCTCCTCCGAGTTAGGGCTGTTTGCTTCACGGCTGGTGACATAGTCCATTGAAGAGATTCCCGAATCCTGAGTACGCACAGTGCCGGGTTTAAGAAAACTTGAGCTCTGAGTGGATGACTCACCGAGGTGTTTTGACACCAAACTGCCAGAAGAGAGAGCTTCCTTATCCTGAGAGGGATGCTCCCGTCTTGCAGCAGCTCTAGCTGCCAATGTCCATAGACGTCGCCGACGTTGACTGGGCATTCGACTGAAGGATTGAGCCTCAGTACGTGAGGGGCTTACGGCCTCAGATTCAATTTTTGTGGCTGGGGTAGTGGTTGAGAGGGTAAAATCCACACCTAGGCGTTCCATTCGATGCGCATGAGGTCGTCGGGTACGCCCGCTAGGGGTAGTGGCAGTAGTGCCGACGCTGGTGCTCCAGCCGCTGCCACCGACGCCGGGGTTATTGGACATCCTGCTGAACAGTGTCCGTGTTTGTGGGGGATAAAGAGGGTCTTTTAGATGGTGGCATGGTCTATTCTCGCCCGGCGTGCATCCAGCGTCGGCTTAATGACTGTGTGTGTCGTGCGTGGGTAAATGGGTGAGTGAGCAGCTAGGCGATTTGGGCAACCAAGTAACCAGCCAGGCCAGACTACGAGTGAGCGAGTGCGGACGTGTGTGCACGTCACTGTGATATGATTGGTAAGAGGATCAGACGTTAAAGTGATGACGGGATTTTCGTGATTGCTTTACCTCATTATCGGCTGTGCTAATTTTTGGCATAAAGAAAACAACTTTTTCTTTTCAAAGTTTTGCTGAAGTTACTGAGGAGTGGATAAAATAACGTGACAAAAATATGAAAAAGACTAAAATTCCATCTTTCTGTTGAGCATAAAATCATTGATTCCAATGGCTGTGTATCACTTTGGTCACTGAAATGCGTCCAGAGGCAAGTTGTATGGTTAAACGGTTTGGTGTGGGCTTTGTTAAGCGAAAGACAAGAAGCCTTTTCCATTTGATGAGCTTGAACATTAATCTCAAGTCCATCGCTGTGATATGTAACTGTTCAAGGATTTTAAAGCAAATGGAGTTAATTTTAACCAAAAACACTGACTTCATTTAATACCAAAACGGTGCGTTACACAAAATCTTCTATAAAGTGCGTTTGTAGAGCCTGTTTTGTAGTTAGAATTGTCTGCCTTTAGGCTTGAGATGA